TACAAGAAGTAAATACGCCATGCTTGAAATGCATGAACAACCAGGTCTTGGCATAAGAAAATAAATCACTTTTTGTTTCTGTATTTGACTGTAGGGCGAAACGGCGCCCAGACAACACCTCACAGGCAGTTCCAATTCATATCTTTACAATAGATCGTTTTCGTTCATGTGTCGCATATATTTAATCGAGTGTATGTGTGTATTTATATTCTATTTTTGGATTCTTATTTATAATAAATACAACGCTGCAGATTGGTCGTTAAAATTGAGTCTACGGTAAAATTGTTTTGACAGAACACTCTTCTCCCCCTCACCACTCATTTGATTTTGACTGTAAAGTCATCCCGACGTTCACCCACCAGATCACAAGAACTCAAATCTCACACGAGATACAAGCTGGTACCACCTGTGTACATTTTGATTTTCCACACGAGTGTTGTAAACAGGTTACAAGATAAGCCTGTGATGTCGCGGTGACTTTTCTTTACTAATGATTTTGACATTTTATCACGGGAATTTCCGTGTAATAACCTGTACTTATAATATACAGTAAACTTTTTCATTGTCACCTCTACCAATTAGTCAATATTATATGGAAATTTGAGGGCAATAGTAAATACACGTTCTGTTTACCGATTTATGACAGAAATATGAAAACCGAAGTCATAGACATCGTGTTTTCACACTTGTTATATTAGCAGTCGGGGGGAGTAGTATGTATACAGAATGTGCATGGGAAGTTTCGTTCTCAGGTTTACTGTATACGAGATCAGTACCGTCAATAGACCGACGCAATGGAAACAGGCAAATAAACTTGAGTCGGCGTATTTTCTTCGCGACCGTTTAGCAACACTCTGGCCGTGTGTATCCGGTGGACTGCCGCCTTTTCTTGTTGGCCGTCATCAACTTGAATTAGTTCCGCGTCATATTATTCCGACGATGTATAAATTGCCGAGCGTGCGATGTTTCAAATCATGGCACATGAAGACTGCTCTGTATTTGTTTGAAATTCAATTGCTATGTTATATTTAAACAAGCAAATTGTAATCCGTTCTTAGGGTGTTTATATCAGTTGTTTTGTGGGATTAGCAGTACAGGGGAAGGATAAGCATTCATTTACTCAGTGGACAGAGGCGGAGTTAATTACCCATGAGCACTTGGTGCAATCCAAGGGATTGAGCGGTTCCCCTTTAAAACCACAGTCAGCTGGCATCGGTGTCGCTGGGTGTATATGATAAAGGGAAATTGTGCAACCAAAACAGGA